CTCAGAAGGAAGGTGGGGCAATCTACTTCTGTAGTGATACCTCCTTGGAAACCCAAGGAGGGGTTGCTATGAGTTGGGTCTGACCCAACAGCACATAACAACAACAACATTCTGTTCCACAAGGAGCGCTGGTGGCACAATGGTTAAGCACTCGGCTCCTAACCAGAAGGTTGGCATCTTTGGAACCCACCAGTTGCTCCTCGGGAGAATGATGAGGCAGTCTGTTTTCATAAATATTCACACCCTGGGAAACCCTATGGGGCAGTTCTACTCTGTCCAGTAGGGTTGCTAGGAGTCGGAATTGGCTTAAGGGCAGTAGGTTTGTTGAGGCATTTGTTTATGTATTCATTTGGGGAGACTGTATAAGTTTCAGAGTCGGGTTGGCTGTAATCTTTACATAATTTGCTCTTGTGGCTTGGTTCTTCCTCAGTTCCGCTGAGTGGGTTCAAACAGGCAACCTTTTGGTTACTGGCCAAGTGCGGACCATCTGCACCACTCAGAGACCTTACAGCGGCAGTGGATTGGGTTGGGTTTGGTATTTTGTCCAAGTGGCACAGTGATTAAGCGCTTGGCTATTGATGGAAATATTGGGCTTAACCCTCAAGTTGCTCCATTGGAAAAAGATGTGGCAGCCTGCTTATGTAAAGATTAGAGCCTTGGAAACCCTGCAGGGCATTTCTACTCTGTCCTATTAGGGCTGCTATGAGTCGGAATTCACTTGACAGCAACAAGCATTCTCTACCACTCATCTGTTATCTTGATGCCAATACCATACTTATTTCCTATGACTTGATAATAAAAAACTCACTGCCATTAAGTCAATTCTGACTCATAGCAACCCTTACTGGGCTTCCAAGGCTGTAAATCTTTAAAATCTTTTGCCTTATCTTTCTTCCACAGAGCAGCTGGTAGGTTTGAACCACTGACCTTTTGGTTGACAGGTAAATGTCTTAAACACTGTATGACCAGAGCTCCTTGAGATGTTCATAGGGTTTTCTTTTTTAATTTGTAAATGTTATGAATTACATTGATTGGTTTTTGAGAGCTAAAGGATCCTTGCCTTCCCGCAATAATCTACATGAAGGATATTGATCTGTACTTTTGTTCTCTTGTAGTATCTTTTTCTGGTTGGAGTATCAGGTTAATGCTGGCCTAATAAGATGAGTTGGAAAGTATTGCCTTCTCTTCAACTTTCTGGGAGAGTTTGTATAGAATTGGTATTATTATTATTTTTTTTTTTTAAATGCCAGTAGCACCCTCCCTCCCTAAGTCATGACAATCAAAAATATCTCCAGATACCATCTGGGAGGCAAAATTATCCCTAGTTGAGTACCATTGGTCTAAGGATAATTATTTCCCACTACAAAGGCAAGACCTTTTTGAGGACTCTACCCAATACTCTGTCAATCATAAGGTTTGGGTGTTGAGAATAGGTACTATTCTGGCCCTGTGTGAGTGCTGGGCAGTGTTCTCACCTGTCTTCTCAGGTAGTTTTTTTCCCAGCATCAGGTAGTTTCTTCACACACATGTACTGATTAATACTCTGCTGAATACCTTCCACAGATCTCCAGAATTCTTTCTCTGTGTAGGTTTCTCTTCTCTGGTACTGTTGTCATGCAAACTCTAGCCACCTTGGTTTCCCCAGATTCCCAGTTGCATTTTCTAAACTCAGGGAGTCCAGCAGGTTCACTTGAATTTCCACTTCTGTGTTCCAGCCTAGAAACTCTCTTGAGTTAATCATAGGATGTTCTTCATTTGTTCCCTGTCTCTCAGGGATCCTTGTCTTTAGTTGCCTGATGTCCACAGGGTCTTGGGAATTGTTTCATAAAATTTATCGGTTTTCTTTTTAAATATGTTTATTTCAGGAGAGAGGGTAAATCCAGTTCCTGTTACGGCATCTTGGCCACAAGTAGGTCTTTAATTTTTAACCCTGTGTATGATATGCATATATATGTACGTAGGTAAGAACAGATAAAAGTATCTATAAAAAAACAAACTCACTGCCATCGAGTCAATTCTGACT